CCCCAGGGATGCACTTAACTATGGCCGCTGGCTTCGCTAAATTCACGTTTCTCAAAATGGAGCTGCCAATGATCAGAGTTGGTTTCTCAGCGGGTGTGTCGCTGAGTGGGGAAAATCTGTTAGAAACGTGAACAGGTTGATGATGCCCCGTGGACTTTGAATGCTTACGACTATTCCTCCTTCGGACAGTCACCCAGCCCCCCCCTTTCCTGGCTGCACAGGGGATGCCGGGGGACGGCTACCAGAGGCTAACTCAGGCCGTTCCGCACCGACTACCGGGGACTGGCTAGCTACAGTAGCTAAAGACTGATCTACCAAGGTGCGGAGCCGGACTTCTAAATCACTGAGCCTCGCCTCCATGTCTATAAATAAACTACACTTATTACATGTACCATTACCGCTAAAGGAGGCAGAGGAGTAACTAAACATCTGACACACCGAGCAGGAGAAAGTAGGAGAGAGAGAGGGAGAAGGAGAAGCCATCGCTAGCTGCTAAGCTAAAGTCGCTAACGGCTAAGCTAAGTACTGTAGCGTCAGCTACCAAAACTTTAGAACAACTATGAGATTGAACAGCAGTCACTAAAAGATGGAAAGAACTGTGAGTGCTTAGGCAAAATTACTGTAAAGAATAAGTGTTTAGCGAACAGTTGGCCGCTGTAATCAAACAAATGTAACTGTTATTTAGCGAGAGCAGCACAACACGGTACCAACACACAAGCACCGGAAACGGAAATGAGTCGACACGCTTACCGCAATACGTCAGCCAACAAGACATTGTGCATTCAGTGGAATGATATTTTCGAAAGCCAAATTGCAGAGCTAATTCATGTGTTAGGGTATCGTCGAAGTATCTTTGATTTCTGTAGTTACTCTAAAAAATAGTGGTGATAGAATATCTCAGAAGTGTTTATAGAATTCGTCCAGGAATCCTTCTGGTCCAGGTGATTTATTGTTTGGCATTTTATTTAAGGCTGTATAGAGTTCTTCAGGAGTAAGTGGTGTGTCTAGAAGGTTGGCTTGTTCTCTAGTCAGTGTAGGTAGGTCCAGATTATCTAAGAAGTTGTCTATTTCTGATTGGTTAGGTTCGTGCTTTGAGGAATACAGATTGTTATAAAAGTTATAAAAGAAATTGTTTATGTTCTGCGGATTGTGGGTTATAGTACCTGTTGTATTGAGTATGGATGGAATAACTACTACTACTAATTTGTTTGCTTTATTACAACAATGAAATTTTTCATATTTAAGTTGTTGGATGAGCTACTGTTTGTTTTTGTGTGTGATAATTTAACAACTATAAAAAAGTAATGTCCTCCTTCACAAGGAAGGTGCAACACTAACCTAGACAAAAAAAACTTTACCATGGCTTAATGAAACGTTTTGACAACAAATGAAAGAATGAGACCTGGCACTGAAAAGAGCACTTAAACCAGGTAATAGTAGTGATCTTTACATCACTTCGAAATAAGGTAGTAAGGAATATAAGTTTTTTTCTTAGTGTTTCTTTCGTTTTCGTTTTTTTTTTCTATAGACAGTACTCACAAAGGTATAACTATCAAGATTAAATTAAAAATTGCCCGGAGTTCTCCTTTAATGAAACCAGGGGAAATGGAAAACTCGTCTGGAAAAATCTCAATAGACTGACTGGACGTAATAAAGACCAGAGAATAAAGAAACCTGAAGTTATGGTTAATGGAATTTAAACACATGATCATGACTTGATAGAAGGTACTTTCAATATTTTTTTTATGAATTCAATTGAGGAGTTGGCTGAGAGCTTCTCTCCTAGAACTACAGCTTGTATCCCCATCAATGATGCCAAACCATTTTTTTTAGAATAACATAAATAACTGAATCAGAGGTTAAAAACATTATAACCTCCTTAAAAGACTCAAAAGCAAAGGATGCTTATGGATTGGATATCATCCATCCATCCATCTATCCATCGTGGACAGGTCGCCAGTCCATCACAAGGCCACACATATACAAACAACCACTCACACTCACATTCACACCTAAGGACAATGTTGGAGATTACCGATTATCCTAGCCTGCATGTCTTTGGATGGTGGGAGGAAGCCAGAGCACCCGGAGAGAACGCACGCAGACACGGGGAGAGCATGCAAACTCCACACAGAAAGGCCAAGGTTCGAACCCACAACCTTCTTGCTGTGAGGCAAGAAGGTCGTGCTAACCACTGCAGCACCGCACCACATTTCTTACATCAAACAAGGATATCTATTTTGTCCAATTGCTCTTTGATCAACTTATCAAATAAGAATGGAATTTTTCCAAGCACCTGGAATCTGACTGTTATGACACCCATTTTTAAGGCAGGTGACGGAACCACTGTGGCAAAGCAGCTGACTACTCATCTGAGCACATATCACTTTCCTTTGCATCCAATGCAATTTGGATTCTGTTCCAATCACTCTATCGAAAAAGCAACTGTTATTTTATTGAAAATATAAAATCAAAATTAGATGAACGTGGTGAAATAGGAGCAGTTTTTTGAATCAAAAGAAGGCTTTTGACACAGTAAACCACGAGGTACTCCTCACAAACTATCCATTTTTAATTTTTCCAAAGATGCAATTAAATGGATGAACTCATACTTAACAAACAGGAAGCAAAGTGTACGTATTGGTTATACTCAGTCTACATACCTAAATTGTAATATTGGTGTTCCCCAAGAGTCAATGCTGGGCCCAATTTTGTTAAGCTTGTATATTAATGACCTACCCTTAGCCTGTCCCTCTGTCAACATACAAATGTATGCTGACGACACAGACTATATGTGCATGCAAAAAACAAACAACAAGCTGCAAAGAAAATAACTGCAGCCATGGCACAGGTTTCTAACTGGCTAAATAATTCATGTTTACACTTGAATGTAAACAAAACTGTGTGCATGTGTGTGCAAGTCCCCACAACCCGATGTTTTTGCTACATCACACTGGTGTCTAATTATAAATACCTGGGAATCATAATAGATTCAAAGATGACAGTTAAAAAGCAGTTAAAAAATCACCAACATGATTAAATTCAATTTGGCTAATTTTAGACATATCAGACCATATTTAACAACAGAGGTAGCCAACCTCTCTATTTTACATATACAACATATTGCTTTACAAGCTGGTCCAAAACAAACACTACAACTCTGAAATTGGGTCACTGTACAAACAGACAAAAATCTTGAAAGGTCAATAGCTATCATCACTGTCATATAATTAAACAAATACAATCTATTCAGTTTAGATAGTTTTAAAAATTTGCAGATCCTTGCCTTGTTTTTAAGGTGTTACATGGGCTAGCCCCTACCGCACTAAAGAGAGAGGGGACTGTATTGTACAGTACAGATGTAGTAAGTTTGGACAGACAGCATTCTGAGTTAGAGCTACCTGTTACAGGAATAGTTCACCTGTTGAATTGAGAGAATGCAACAACTTTTTAACTTTTAAATATAAACTTATGACATATATATATAGATAGATAGATAGAGATATAGAGATATATGTATTTTCAAGAAGTTACATAATCTTAATCTTTTTACATACTGTACTTCTGTCACTTTTGTCATGTATTTATGTATTATCTTGTATTTCATATTTCTTGCAGTACTTGTCTAGGCATTATACCGATAATAATTATAACTAAATTGTTTGTATTTTATACATTTATCACTTTTGTAATGTAGTTATGCAGTATAATTTTTAATTTTTTTTTTTGCAGTACTTGTTGAAGCAATGTACTGAAGTATTGATGATGTTGGGCATTAATTGGTTATAACCTGCTCAGGGACTACGGATGAAAATGAGCTATTTAGCTAACTCCAGTACATTTACAATCTTTAGATATTGTAATTTAGACATCAAGTCTAACTATGGCGTTGATTACTGTAATGTGCACTGTCCCTGTTAAATAAATATATAAATAAATAAAAATTGATTGCACCTCGCGGGAGATGACACTCATACTGTATATGCTGACAAAAAGATGGATGTAAATCTCTGCAGGTACCGTACAACATCTGTTCTGCCAAATTATGCATTGACCTCTTAAACTCTTTTTCAGACACGTTGCTGTGCTGTGCTGTAATAAACGCAGTTAGTGAATCTCAAGGAATGCTACTTTTCCTAAGTGTAATAATTATTGATGACTCTAAACATTGTTAAATATGTACTTCGAATCATTTATTCCCACTGATGAACCCAATAACAGAATAGTATATCGTTTTTAAACTGTAGCTTTACTTGGAGGTGCATGGCTCTCCTTAGCAGTCAGGCAGGACGCTGCAGCTGCTCCCCCCGGCTCTCTGCCTTTCAACCCTTTGTGTCCCTCCTGTTCAGGTGCAGCCACTTATCCTAATCGTATCTGACTAGTATCTAACTGAACAGTGATGCCGTTACAGTACAAAGCCAAATCTAACGTTGCCCGTTTGTAAGGTTTACAGTTAACATTACGTCAGCTAACTGAAAGCTGAGCCTTTACTTCACACAGATGCCTTTTCTTCAAAGTATTATCACCCTGATGTCTAACACTTCTCTAATACATTTTGTCTTCTCTCTTTTTGTTGACTTCTCTTTGACTCTTTAAAAACTGTGGTCAAAACACACTCCCATTAACTTAGCATCGGTAGCACAGCTTGGGGCTGCTTGTTGTGTATTGTAGCTGAGTGAGGCCAACAGACAATTAATATAATTTAAACAGGTGAGTTATAAAAAACTTCACCCCCTTCACAGTTGTCATAAAGGGCAAAATTAGCGATATGCACTAAAACCATCTTTTGTACCAGGCTTGTGTTTATGTTTATTAATGCTGTAAAGGGCATTTTAAACATGGTGGTCAATGGAGATTGACTCCCTTTGGGAGCCAGCCTCAAGTGGCCACTCGATGAATTGCAGTTTATTGCTCTCCCGGTTTGGCTTCAGCCCGGAGACCAGAAGCCGCTTGGTGGAAACACCTGTGTGGGTATCACATGTCTCTCTCTGTCTCCACAGAGCCTTTCTGGTCAGCTGAGCAGCAGCAGAGAGGAAAACCTTCAGACTGAAGTTTGATTTAGAATCCAGCTGTTCAACAGACTGCAGAGGAACTCTTACTGAGAATGGCTGAAAGTCCAAGAAGTGGGAGCAGAGACCTGCCTCCTCATCTGTCTGTATTAAAGAGCAAACTCATCAAACATGCAGCTTCATTCGTCAGAGAATTTAACAACGCTGAACACAGGATGAGAGAGATTGTAGGAAGGTTTCAGAAGATCCCTGCTGAAGTAAAACAGATGCAGCAGGAAACAGATGCAGTCAGATCAACAGGGGCTGTTAATGGAGGACTTGGATTCATGATCTTTGTGGTTTTGTTTACTTTAGGGGTGAGCTTATTAGTAGCAGGAGCAGTAGCAGCTGGGGCATTAGTGTTAGGAGCAGTAGTAGCTCAAGTAGCAGCAGCTGCAGTAAGAGAAGGCAAAAGACAAAAGTCAGTGGCAGCAGCAGTAGTAGCAGGAGCAGCAGCAGTACCAGCAGCAGTAGCAGCAAGCACAGCAGCATTTGTAAGAAGAGCAGCACCAGTTGCAGCAGCAGCAGCAGCTGTACCAGTAGCAGTAACAGCAGCAATAGCAGGAGCAGCAGCAACAGCAGTAGCAGGACCAGTTCTACTAGAAGCAGCAGCAGTAGTAGTAGCAGTAGTAATAACACCTGTGGCAGTATCAGTTCCAGCAGTAGAAGCAGCAGTAGGAGCAGCAGCAGCAGCAGTAGCAGCAGCATTTGTAAGAGCAGTAGCAGCAGCATTTGTAAGAGTAGCAGCAGCAGCAGAAGCAGCAGTAATAAGAGGAGCAGCAGCAGCAAGCACAGCAGCAACAGCAGCAGCAAGCACAGCAGCATTTGTAAGAAGAGTAGCAGCAGCAGCAGCAAGCACAGCAGCATTTGTAAGAAGAGCAGCAGAAGCAGCGGTAGTACCAGCAGCAGAAGCAGCAGTAGTACCAGCAGCAGTAGCAAAAGCAGCAGTAGCAGAAGCAGCAGTAGTACCAGGAGCAAGCACAGCAGCATTTGTAAGAAGAGCAGCAGCAGCAGCAGCAGCAAGCACAGAAGCATTTGTAAGAGCAGCAGCAGCAAACACGGCAGCATTTGTAAGAAGAGCAGCAGCAGAAGCTGCATCAAGCATGGCAGCATTTGTAAGAAGAGCAGCAGCAAGCACAGCAGCATTTTTAAGAAGAGCAGCAGTAGCAGAAGCAGCAGTAGAACGAGCAGCCGCAAGCACAGCAGCATTTGTAAGAAGAGCAGCTGAAGCAGTAGTACCAGCAGCAGTAGTACCAGCAGCAGTAGCAGCAAGCACAGCAGCATTTGTAAGAAGAGTAGCAGCAGCAGGAGGAAGCACAGCAGCATTTGTAAGAAGAGTAGCAGCAGCAGCAGCAGCAAGCACGGCAGCATTTGTAAGAAGAGCAGTAGCAAGCACGGCAGCATTTGTAAGAAGAGCAGAAGCAGCGAGCACAGCAGCATTTGTAAGAAGAGCAGCAGCAGAAGCTGCATCAAGCACGGCAGCATTTGTAAGAAGAGCAGCAGCAGCAGCAAGCACAGCAGCATTTGTAAGAAGAGTAGCAGCAGCAGGAGGAAGCACAGCAGCATTTGTAAGAAGAGTAGCAGCAGCAGCAGCAGCAAGCACGGCAGCATTTGTAAGAAGAGCAGCAGCAAGCACGGCAGCATTTGTAAGAAGAGCAGAAGCAGCGAGCACGGCAGCATTTGTAAGAAGAGCAGCAGCAGCAGCAAGCACAGCAGCATTTGTAAGAAGAGCAGCAGTAGCAGAAGCAGCAGTAGTACGAGCAGCCGCAAGCACGGCAGCATTTGTAAGAAGAGCAGCTGAAGCAGTAGTACCAGCAGCAGTAGTACCAGCAGCAGTAGCAGCAAGCACAGCAGCATTTGTAAGAAGAGTAGCAGCAGCAGCAGCAAGCACAGCAGCATTTGAAAGAGCAGCAGCAGCAGGAGCAAGCACAGCAGCATTTGTAAGAAGAGCAGCAGCAGAAGCAGCAGCAAGCACGGCAGCATTTGTAAGAAGAGCAGCAGCAGAAGCAGCAGCAAGCACGGCTGCATTTGTAAGAGCAGCAGCAGCAAGCACGGCAGCATTTGTAAGAAGAGCAGCAGCAGAAGCAGCAGCAAGCACGGCTGCATTTGTAAGAGCAGCAGCAGCAAGCACGGCAGCATTTGTAAGAAGAGCAGCAGCAGAAGCAGCAGCAAGCACGGCAGCATTTGTAAGAAGAGGAGCAGCAGAAGCAGCAGCAAGCACGGCAGCATTTGTAAGAAGAGGAGCAGCTGCAGCAGCAAGCACGGCAGCATTTGTAAGAAGAGGAGCAGCTGCAGCAGCAAGCACGGCAGCATTTGTAAGAAGAGCAGCAGCAGAAGCAGCAGCAAGCACGGCAGCATTTGTAAGAAGAGGAGCAGCTGCAGCAGCAAGCACGGCAGCATTTGTAAGAAGAGGAGCAGCTGCAGCAGCAAGCACGGCAGCATTTGTAAGAAGAGCAGCAGCAGAAGCAGCAGCAAGCACGGCAGCATTTGTAAGAAGAGTAGCAGCAGCAGCAGCAGCAGCAGCAAGCACAGCAGCATTTGAAAGAGCAGCAGCAGCAGGAGGAAACACAGCAGCATTTGTAAGAGCAGCAGCAGCAAGCACAGCAGCATTTGTAAGAAGAGCAGCAGCAAGCACAGCAGCATTTGTAAGAGCAGCAGCAGCAAATACGGCAGCATTTGTAAGAAGAGCAGCAGCAGTAGTACCAGCAGCAGTAGTACCACCAGCAGCAGTAGCAGAAGCAGCAGTGGTACCAGCAGCAGTAGCAGCAGTAGTACCACCACCAGCAGTAACAGAAGCAGCAGTAGTACCAGCAGCAGTAGGAAAAGCAGCATTAGTACCACCAGCAGCAGTAGCAGCAAGCACAGCAGCATTTGTAAGAAGAGCAGCAGCAGCAGTAGTAGTAGCAGGAGCAGCAGCAACGACCGCAGTAGGACCAGTTTTAGTACCAGCAGTAGTAGTAGTAGTAGTAGCAGGAGCAGCAGCAACATCAGCAGCAGGACCAGTTCTAGTAGCAGTAGCAGCAGTAGTAGTAGCAGTAGTAACAACACGTGTGACAGTATCGGTACGAGCAGTAGAAGCAGCAGTAGGAGCAGCAAAAGCAGTAGCAGCAGGAGCAGCAGCAGCAGGAGCAGTGGTAGCAGGAGCAGCAGCAGTAGGAGCCGTAGGAGCAGTAGGAGCAGGAGTGGTTTTAGTAGCAGTAGTAGAAGCATCAGAGGCACTAATAGTTGGAGCATTAGGAGCAGCAGTAGCAGTAGGAGCAGGAGCAGCAGGAGCAGTAGAACCTGGAGCAGTAGCAGCAGGAGCAGTAGCAGCAGGAGCAGTAGCAGCAGGAGTAACAACAGCATTAGAAGCACTGGTAACAGTAACAGATGAGGCAAGAATAAGAGGAGCAGCAGTAAGAGCAGCATTAGCAGGAACAGTATTTGTAATAGTAGGAGTAGAAGCACCAGGAGCAGTAATAATAGGAGCAGTAGGAGCAGCAGTGGCAGTAATTGCAGGGGCAGTAGGGACAGTAAAACCTGGAGCACTAGCAGCTGTAGCAGTAGCAGCAGGAGCAGTAGCAGCCGAAGTAGCAGCAGCATTACAAGCACTGGTAACAGTAACAGATGAAACAACAACAGTAGGAGTAGCAGCAGCCGCTGCAGTGGCAAGAGGAGCAGAAGCAGGAGCTATTGCAGTAGCAGGAGCAGCAGCAGCAGCAGCAAACAGTAGTAGCGGCAGCAGCAGCAGTAGTAGCAGCAGCAGCAGTAGCAGGAGCAACAGCAGGAACAGCAGCAGCAGCATTAGTAGCAGTAGTAGCAGCAGCCGCTGCAGCAGCAGCAACAGTAGTAGCGGCAGCAGCAGCAGTAGTAGCAGCAGCAGCAGTAGCAGGAGCAACAGCAGGAACAGCAGCAGCAGCATTAGTAGCAGTAGTAGCAGCAGCCGCTGCAGCAGCAGCAACAGTAGCAGGAGCAACAGCAGGAACAGCAGCAGCAGCATTAGTAGCAGTAGTAGCAGCAGCCGCTGCAGCAGCAAGAGGAGCTGTAGCAGCAGTAGTAGCAGCTGCAGCAGCAGCTGTTGCTGTGGCAGGAATAGCAGCAGCAGCAGCAGCAGCAGCAGCAGGACCTGCTAGAGCAGCAGCAGCAGCAGCAGCAGCAGCAGCAGCAGTAGCAGCAGCAGCAGGAGGATTTAATGTTGTTGGTGCAAACATATTAAAAACAATGAAAGAGAATGGAAGTGCAGAGGAAGTAGAAAAGCTGGGGAAAGAATTCCTGGAGATTGTTGAACCGCTGAAGAACGAGCTGGAAGAAATAAAGACAACGTGTGAACGGTTGGAGGAAGAATCAGCTGCAGTTCAGGCTGAGAACACTCTGTCAGACATGGAGGAGTTTCAGAGGATCCTCAGACGAGTGAATGAACTGAAACGAGGGAGTGTGAGAGCTTTGGCTGTAGCTGTTACAGTGATGGAGAGGAAAGGTGCACTGCTGATGCTCTTTTTGAAGTTCTTCAGACTCACTGCGACCCCTGAAGGGGACAGAAAGTTCAGAACCTCCATCCTCAAGTCAGCTGATCAGTGTCAGAATGCCGTTCATAAGTTTGATCAGATGAAGAAGGCACTCTCCCAGTTTACAGGACAGTGAAGAGGAGGACTACGAGCTGCAGCGTGAAGCAAAAAAACATCCAGACTCCTCTACAAAATCTTCAAAGAATGATGTCTTACTGAATCTGCAGGCTGAGGTCAATCTCTACATTTACTCATTTAGCAAACACTGTTATCCAAAGCAACTTACATTTGAGGAACAACATACAAGCGTCAACAAAGGATCTACGTATACAGGACGAGATCTAAAACTGACAATACATACTAGTACTAGCTAATGGCACGTATGGCATCAGTGGGGTAAATGCCTACTAAAAAGTGCAATCAATACAAGAGAATTGTAGGCGACACTGAAAGTCGTGTAGTCTGCACGAGCCTTTACAGGTGAGAGGTGTTATCAGGAAATGTTCTCTGCAGAGTTTTCAGGAGTTTCTTGAAGTCAGAGAGGGACGCCCCTGCTCTGATGGCATGCTCGTTCCACCATCGTGGTGTCACAGATGAGAACAGGGACTGAGGTCGCTTTGTGTGAAGGGATGGCAGAGCCAGGCGGCGTTCATTGGAGGAGCGCAGTGGCCCAGAAGGAACGTAGGCTTGGATTATGGAGTTTAGGTAGATGGTGCAGACCCAGTAGGAGCTCTGTATGCAGCATTGGATGGGACATGCAGGGACTTGGACCTGATTCTGGAGAATTCTAGAATCCAGAAATTCTGTAATTCCCCCCCACCAAGGTCGAGGCAGATGGCCGCCCACCCTGAGCCATGGTTCTGCTCGAGGTTTCTGCCTCTTAAATGGAAGTTTTTCCTTGCCTCTGTCGCCTAGTGCTGCTCTTGGTGGGAACTGTTGGGCTTCTGTAAATAGCATCATAGAGTACGGTCTAGACCTGCTCTTTATGAAAAGTGCTGTGAGTTATCACCCATCAAGCAGGTGCCCTGACTGCAGGCCCCCCAGACCCCCAGAAGAGGAGGGGGGTGAAAGGCCTGCCACATCAAAAAGCCTTATTTCAACTCTGAGTGCTGGTTGGGAAGTTTCAACCATAAAACCACCATCTCCGGGGAAGTGAAGATAACTGACTCTACTCATGCCTGTTGAAATGACAATTTAACCTTGTCCAGAGATGTAACCTCACCCTGAACCAGGCTGTCAGTACCTCTAAAATGGACAGAGACCATAAACTAAGACCTAACACACACACATCACACACAGTCACACACAACAAAGACGGCCTCCTTTATTTGCGCTGATGTGCGAACTGATAAGAATGCCAGATGCCAAAGAAAAGAGAACAGCCCAAAATTCAAACCTTGTGAACAAAGAATGTTATAATGTCTTTGCCTTATAAACTTGTCTTGTTCTGTTTAGTTTGATACTCTTTAAGTTAATTAGTGGCCCTCGCCTCTTCAATTTTGAGTAGTTTATTACCATGTTGTTCTTTAGAAACTATATTGAAGAGTTAAAGGAATCATAAAGAAGGTCCATTTAAAGTGTTCTCTACATTTTTCCTTATTATCCTGTGTATATATCACTGTCTGTGTTTTATGGTTTAACTGATGACATGTTTCAAATACCTTCTTATATATATTTTTAAGTAAGAATGTGTAACAATCAATATTATCCTGGAAGTATTTAGTTAAGGCTTTCTTTCTTCAGCTATGATCACTATGAACTGTAACAATTCTAAATTGTTATGACGATTAACACAATAGCTTTTCCTTTCCTTTTATCAAATGCTCAGAAACTGTATAACTGTTGATGATATTTAAGAAAAGAGTTGATATTGTGGAAAGAGATTAAATTAGAACACAGAAACTAGGAGGGACAAAGCCTTCCTACCAACCCACTGTGAATTTACCTTTTGTTTTGTTTGTTTAAAGTTATCAGACTGTTTAAGTCACGCAATTTTTAATTCAGGAACAAGTAAGTTTCTTAAGCTTTCATTTCAGTTCAAATTAACTTCCACTACTCCCGACAAACGAAGTTCGGAGGTCAACCACGTGAGTAGGTTACGCCACAGTAATTAACCAAGAAAGGACAACCAACAGCCCAGCAATCCACTGCAGAGTTCCAGCTACCAGCCGAGGAGCACGGACCCCCGGGACAAACCCGCTTTCCAAAGACTCTGTCCTGGCCGTACGGCGTACCAAGCAAGCTGTGAACGTCTAGAACCAAGCTAGTTGTGTGCCGTCCATACCACCATACCGGCTGGGAAAACCAACAAAGCAGTAAGGCAAATTACCTGTACATCTGTGATCAAGTTGGTGTCCTTAAGCCTTTAGTCCTGAAACCAATGGCCTTTGAGCCTTTAACACCGTTATCACCATATAACTTGCATCCATTCGTTCCCTTATTCAATTAGAATCGTATTCTTTCCACAATAGGAAACTCAATTCAAAATGTTAGCCTAGGCCCACTTCTGTGCTATATCCCGTTGAGTGCATTCTGGTTGTTTTTTGTTATTGTTGTTTATTTTCCTTGATATTCCTATATTTACACTGACTTTGTATTCACTTTGGTTAGCTAATAAAGTTTCACTTTAATCACAGGAATGTGTGTGTGTTACTATTGGAGCCAGGCCACTGGATGGAGAGTTCACCCTTAGATTTGACACTGATTGATTAAACTAACTGATTTGTGGGGCAAATAAGAGTTTGCAGCAGTGAGGTAATACTTTACTCTATCCTTCCTACTCTTGAGGTGCTATTTCTTTGTACTTTTACTGAGCAATCCACTAGAATCTGAAGGCTGGCTGAGCAAGATCAAACAACTGGGTGTGTGTCCCACCCACTGAAACCAAACTTTTGTCTTGTTAATCCGGAGGGCAATCTCAGCTGGGTGCAATCAGTCTTAATGCCCAACACCTATGTGCAATTAGACTTAAACTACTTCAGTGAAACCTACCACTGAAGCGTCAGCGTAGGCGTCTGCTCCTTGGGTGAAGACCAGCGAGTCTACCTGTGCGAGTCCACTGAGAGTAGCTTTTCCTTTCCCAAGGCACACCTACTCACCTAAAGCTGCCGGCTACAACTACACTCGGGCCATGTGCTACTATATTATTCCTATTGTCTCCGGTGCACGCAAGAGGTATCATGCCATCAGGCACAGAAATCAGGCACTCCTCAAGCCTTTAAAACAACACCACCCACATCTGTTTACTTCTCTGTTGGGTCATGGAACTGCCAGTCGGCAGTCAACAAAGCTGACTTCATCACTGCTTATGCTAACACATTATCTCTTGGGCTACTGGCGCTCACTGAGACTTGGATCAAACCAGAAAACTCTGCTACCCCCGCTGCGCTGTCCACCAATTAGTCTTTCACCCTCACACCCCGACCGTCTGGGAGGGGGGTGAGGGTGAAAGACTGGGTTCTTAATTTCCAACAAATGGAAATTCACACAGCTGCTTCCCCCGAATCAATATGCCTTCTTTACCTTCTTTAAATACCATGCTGTCTTTGTGTCCGCTCCGATAAAGGTCTCTGTGATTGTCATACACCCGTCCACCAGGACAAAAGGGTAACTTTGTGGAGGAGCTAGACACACTGCTGTCTTCAATACCAGAGTATGACTGTCCCCTACTTGTCCTCGGTGACATGAACATTCACTTTTCGAACTCAGCAAACTTCCTGTCTCTGATTCAGTCCTTTGGTCTAACACGGATTCTCAGCCCCCCGACCCACAAAGCTGGCAAGGTGCTTGACCTCGTTCTTGTCCGAAACTGTGCCACCGAGTGCCTAACAGTCACACCTCTACATGTGTCAGACCACTATTTCATTCAGTTCACGGTTTGCCTACAGGAACAGCCCATTGTTCCAGCACCGTTGGTCTCACACCGCCGCTACCTCCGTAACCTGTCTCCCGCTCACTTTGCCTCAGTGGTAGCTTCTGCTCTACCTTCCCTCAACACATTTCCTCACTTGAGGTCAATGATGCCACACAATCTCTGTGCTCCACACTAAGCTCTTGCCTGGATAGCCTGTGTCCTCTATCCACCAAGCCTGCTCGCCCAAACCAGCCCCACCCGTGGCTAACTGATACCATCCATAGGCTCCGTACTAATCTCAGAGCCGCTGAAAGAAAATGGCGAAAAACCAAAAACCCCGCCGACCTTAAGGGCTACCA